AGAAACCAAACATTTGCTCAAACAACACTTTCTACATATCTAAAACCTACAAACAACAAATTATTGAATTCTAGGTACTTAACCAAACATTTTCAAACCAAAAGCCTATAAACTTACCAATTGTTTATGGACATTTTTATAACGCGGATGCAGGTAGGCAGCGTCTCGTATATATCGATCTAGCCATATAATACTGAAACCACAAGCCTACTGCAGCTCTATCTCTATCGGTGGGAGGTAGATACTTTATACTTCCTGTGATCAAACGCTCCAACGCCAAGCATACGAGAGGACCACAATCCCCTCTGACTCCTTCCGTTTATTGTGGTGCGGTCTCGTCTCTGCTAACTGTAATATTGAGATTCTTTGGCTTCCTGTTTCCAGAACGAGTCCAATAATTTATCGCATCCAAGAATTTAGCCAAATGAGAGCTCCTTCCCTTAATAATATCTCTTAAATCAGCCAATGATATGTAATTTATCATGCTGTCATATACTATTGCCTTAAGGGATGGGAGCTGAAGCTCGACGAGAAGCCAATGTTTACGTTCCAAAACAGGGATAAACACCTGCAATCATAAGTAATAATTCATTCATTTGCGCACTTATTTATGAATACCTTTAAACTCAATCTAAAATAAATACTAACCTTATCGACCTCCCACCATGCAGGATAAAGTTTAGCTTGTCCATTGCCCAACGCAAATGATTCATCTCGTTGATTCTTCAAGTGAACGGCGTTAAAAGACGTCGGCATAATTGTATATCGTGTATTTCTTTTATTTTCCTTAAGTTTCCTAATTATTAGAATACGTGACACCCACGCATCGATATGCTGTTTTACAAAAAAAAGACATATATTAGTGACTTACATAAATTTAAAAAAAAAATAATCAAATTGAAATATATATAAGAAAAATATAAGACTTACCCCTCCATCGAAATAGCCATTGTCTTCGACCCCTAATAATACGCCCCACCAAGACCGATCAAGCAACAAATAGATATCATCGTTGAGCTTGCATATGTCAGTGAAACACCCCTGGCTCCGCTCATGTAGATAAAAATCAACTGCGGTCTTAGCCCAAAGGGTGTTATCCATAATTGTGTCCGGTAGTTGTCTCCTCTCCACTTCAGATATCGGAATGGTACTGGCCGGTAACTAATACGAGAGCCAACTCTTATCCATCATGTCCGGCATGTCAGAGGGTTTCTCAAGAATCTTACATATGACGCCATTTGAATCGGGCTCTTGAATGGTGGGAGGGACCTCTTCAACGATGACAGTGGCCTCTTGAACGGTGGGAGGGGACTCTCGAGGAATTATAGGGGCCTCTTCAATGATAGGAGTGGACTCTTGAGGGATGACAGGCGAGTCGGGCTTCTTCTTGCGGTGTCTTCGCACTATTGGGGTGTACGGAGACTTAATAGCACGTGCACGCCGTCTGATGCGTGAACTCCGTCGTGCAATAAAAACCTGACGTAAAGCATCCACCTTATCGGGCCGCTAAATAATTAAATACAAAAATCAGTAAATAAACAGACATGATATTTATCATCAAGTTAAATATGGAAAATCTTAAACTTACCTTGTTACGTAGAGTATGAACCTCATTATACAACGATACTACCATCTCACGTAGATCGACAACCTCACCACGTAAAGTAGACACCTCTACACGCCATGCACCATCGTTATCGCGTAGAGTACCGATCTCCTCATGCAAGGCATTGACCTCATCACGTAACTCCCTTGACTCATCCCGTGGAGGTGGAGAACAGGGAGATAGAAGTCGTGGCATCTTTGCCGGTTTCCTATCATGAGGTGATGGTGGAGAAGAGGCTCGATGATGTGACGGGATAGGTGATGGCTCTCGTTGTAGAGGTGTATAGTCGGGTCGATCAGGTGATGGCTCTAGGTGAGGTGATGGCTCTCGAAGTGGAGGAAGTGGAGGCTGCTCATCATTCGTGCCATCAAAAATACGATGACTAGCTTGCCACCAATCAGTGGCAAGCTCAGCCTCCGTGGGTGTCACTCTATGTAATGGAGTGTTGGCCTCCTAAAAATATAAAAACTCAAACAAAGTTAAACGTCTACTATTAATAACTTGTTTATATATGATAGTATTTGTGTTAACTTACATTATTTATTGTCGCATATGGTATTAAGTCTTCCCAATCCAACAGACGTTTCCTCTTCCAGGAAATAGCCCTAGGAATATCATTTGAAGTTTTTAATACATATGTCTGCATGCTGGGGAAAGCCTCGAATATCCAAATCTACAAACAATATAATAACAAACATTAGTAATTGTTAAATAATTAATTATAATTTTGAAAACATTAGATAGAAATTCTTACCTTAAAGGCCCAAACAAAGCCTGACAAAGTGTATTTCAACCCATCGCCACGCAAACTTTTGTGGTCATCAAAGGCAGTCGACAACTTAGTCCATGTAGCTTTCCATATATACGAACCCCACGGAAACAGATTCCATGCATTTAGGTCCTCTACCAATAATATTAGCTCCTGAGGAATAGGTTGTCTGGCCTCTCTGCCTAAAAAGCCGGCATACAAAAGTACTAGAAGGCATACTCGGACAACATCGACGTCATTCATCCGAGTAAAACCATATTTCTTATTAAACAATTTCTTCAGGTCTTCGACGTGTAAGTTCGGCTTCTCTATTAACTCATCAGGAAAAACCCGGGATAATCATGATGGGCGGGTGATATGACGAGTGTATCGGCCTACATCATCGTATCCGAATCGTAGACCAGTGATTAAGCAGAACTCCTTCCGCCTAAAACAAGTATACGTCGGTGGAAAATGAAACCATATCTCTTCCTCACCACGTTGTATACTGTCGGGTAGATCGCTAGTCATGGTCTGAAGCCACAAATGGGTCAAATTAGCATCTCCACCCGGATGATGTACTCTCAGCCATTGCCCGAAACAGGTTTCCTCAAACAATTTTCTTTGTGCAGGTGAAAGCTTCGAAGCAATTGTAGTGGCTAGGCTAACTTTATTCCTTAATGTCAATGAAGCCGAAAAAAATTTCTACAAAAACAATAAAATACCAAGTTAGATATACCAAAAACTACACTGTGAAGATATACAAAAAACAATAAACATAAAGAGTAGTAGTTTATTCTTGAAACTAAAATTTGTAACATTGTTTTGTCTTTTGGTTGAAATGAAAATCGCAACGAGAGAATGACTATCGCAACGCGAAATGAAAATCGCAACGAGAGAATCACAACGCGAAATTAAAATCGCAACGCGAAATGAAAATCGCAATTTTCATTTCTCTCATTGCGATAGTCATTTTCGTGTTGCGATTTTCATTTTCATGTTGCGATTTTAAGTTTAGAAACTATTCTTCTTCTGCAAATTGAAACTTTAATGTATTGCATTACTTCAACCAAAAGACAAAACAAAGACAAATACTAACTTCACAGGGTTAAAGACTAAACAGTTTAGCAGTATTGGCAGCAATTGAATGAATTTAATAAGAAATCTAAGTGAAATGGTTAATCAATTATTGAAATTACCAGTAAACTTATCATCAATTTCAATATAAAAAACCTAAAATAATGCAAAAATTTCAAAATAAAAATAATTAAAAAACTAACCCTCGGAGGTTGATTTTCCATTTCTGAATGATTGTGAGGGATTTCTGACCGTGAATGGTTGTAAGGGATTTCGCCGGAGATGGGGACGGAAATCTTCGGAGATGGGGACGGATTTCACCGTAGAGATTGAGAGATGGAGATGAGACTAAGTTGTGATTTTAGGTTTTAGGTTATGAGTTACGATTACGGGATATACTTTGGACGATTCAATGTTCCGATAATTAATATTCGTGTTTGGAATTTGAAAATAAATACGCGTCGCGATTGTAATGGCGCTTTAAAAATCGCGTTGCGATTTACGGATACGTGTTGCGATTTTACGTATTGTCGTTGCGATTTACGGATACGCATTGCGATTTACGTATTCTTGTTGCGATTTACAGATACGCGTTGCGATTTACGTATTCTCGTTGCGATTTACGGATACACGTTGCGATTTTACGTATTGTCGTTGCGATTTACGGATACTCGTTGTGATAGTCAGAATCGCGTTGCGATTTATATGTTCGCATTGCGATTTTCATATTCGCGTTGCGATTATGGAAAATCGCAATGCGAATTTGTACTATCGCATTGCGATTCTTAATAATCGCGTTGCGATTCTGGTAACTGATTTGCGATTCTAGAGATCGCGTTGTGATTTGTATTTCGCATTACGATTTTGTTAGTCATTTTGGCAAATCCAAAAAAAATTGATTAAAATCGTATATTATAAGATATTTTTGGTCACTGAGATTATTTTCTCTTTAATAGAAGATTAAAGATTTCCGAAAATCAATTCCAAAAATATAACACAACTCAAATAAAGCAAAATTACTGAGAATCGTAACCCTTGGTTGCCAAATATTAGTATCTATATACAAATCGCCAAATTTTACAAAAATGTTATATTTTTAATTTTTTCGAAAAAAGAAATTACAAGTCAACTTTCCATTGGTTTCAACTTTCTATAGTGAAACCACTGTCCTGGATAATTTCTCAGAGTGGAGTGCTTGGAATTCAGACAAGTGGAAAAAATAACAAATCTACACGTGTACACAATATTAACGTCATCTTCGTCATGATCACTGTATTGGCAGCCATAGTTTAAGCCCCATAGCCAATATAACGTCATCTTCATCATGATCACAGTATAGGCAGCCAAAGTTTAAGCTTCTCCATTGCCAATATATTTCTTCTCTTCCCTGCCGCTTTAGCTACAAAGAGTTCCTCCGTAAACAGTATATATGTAACCATCTTGACTTAAAAAAACCTTAGATTCTCCAACATCTTTGTCAGGTTCCAAGATCAAAGTCAAAAAGAGAAAAGGTTGTTTTTTTTTTTTAATTTTCATTTGTGTTTTTTATGTTGCTGTTTGGTTGGAGAGAAATTTTTGGTTTTTTTTTTCTGGGAAAGTGAAGGAGTGACGTGGGAAACTCTCTGTTAAAAACCCAAAACCATAAACAATTATTAAAGTAATAAAAAATAGAGAATTAGTTTGGTTTGCTTAGCCATTAATAACAGATAGCTTTGGAGTGTGGAATTTGAATATTTCCCCCCCATAATTACTTGTTTACAACTCACTCATATCTTAATTAATTTACATATCCCGCTTCTCTCTTATTTATTAAACCAAATTCTTTCACTTTCCACTCTTCTATTGCTTAAAAGAAAAACCTTTAAAAAACCACCCCAGACCTTCATCTTCTCTCTTTCATTCAAAAATCTTTGGTAAGCTTCTTAATTTCTATTATTTGCTTAGCTTCCTTTGAAGACACCCAAATTCCATTACCTTGTTTTTCACTCGGTTTTTGCAGTGAAGATTGATGAAAGTTCATGTTTTTGAATCTCAGAGAAGAAATTAAGGTACAAAAACTGTCGTTTATTTTTAATATTAATTTTTTTGATTGTTTCTCCTTTTTGTATTTTTTGGGATCTGTTATCAGATCTTTGATATTATTCTCTCCTTTTGGTTTCTACTGCATCTTCTTTCATTCTAGTTAAATCAATCTGGGAATTTCTCTCTGTTAATAATTACAATGGATTAGATCTAGTTCAAGGTGTAAACAGAACAGATGGCAGCTTTTGTTGAAAAAGAAAGGGATTTTAAAATCAATTTTTAAACTTTATGTAAGCTTTTTCAAAAAAAAAAAAAGTTAACAACTTTGTTCTCTTGTCTTTTTGTACATTGGGGACTGATTAAAAAGAAGATTCTCCGGGTGAAATGATATGTCTTTGATCATGGATCAATCTCTTTCATTGGTGCTTATAGTTGGATGATTGTTGGTTCTTAATCTGGTTTTTATCACTGCCATCTCTGTTATCATTTGAAGATAAGGTTGTTTCTGTTGGATACCCAGGATTTTATGTTAAGTGGAAGCACTTGAGAATTTATATTAGAAATTTATGAGTGCTAAATTATAAAATTTCAGCTGGAATGTTTGAAAGCAATCCTAGAGGAAGATGATAGTTATCCTTTCAAATTTCTAGTGTTTTAGCCTAACAGCAATTACTACATAGTAGTTTTGATTGATCATATGAACTGCCTTGTCCTCCCGAAATTTTCGTTTGAACAATTTTATTTTTAATGCATGCTTGTAGCTGTCTCAGTTCTCTCTTTGTAGGAAATTTCCATAATTCCAAGTTCTTTGCAAACCTGACCTGTCCTGCATTTCGTGTGCAGAGTAGCTCTCAATTGCCATATGTTGTATGGTTGGAGATATCATAATCCGAGGCTAACCGATGATAAAACATGAAACTCGGTAATTACATCATGCCTATTTTCCTTCTGATCATCTCTGCCTTGCAGTGTATCTCTCCCGTGCACGTTTTCGTCTTTCAGATGTTATTCTGCCGACTGTATTTGGACATTTATATACGAAGAAAACGATGTTTATCGGATATTTTTATGCACTTGCAGATAATGAACAAGTGGTTCGCCTTTCAACTATAGGATATAATAGTGACTCGAAGCCTTGTTCCTTCCTAGCTGACACTAAATCTTTTGAGAACAAAGAAAAGCCTTTGGATTCCACCGGACTGAGCGCAGATGAAATTGTGAAGGACAATCGGAATGGAACCGTGCATGATGAAAAGGGTGATGATCAGGATTCAGATTCCTCACGATATCCGGAGAATACACAAGATGAATTGACAGCATCGGAACTCGACTGTTTTAACAGTGCACATGACTTTGCCAATGGTAATGAAAAGGAGGTCAGAGATTTTGTGACATCGAATTCTCATTCTTTAAAGAATACGGATTCGTTTCAGGACTCGTTTTTTTATTTTGACAGAAGTGTAATGGAATGTCAATTGCCTGAATTGGTAGTTTGTTATAAAGAGAGTACATATCATGTTGTCAAGGACATTTGTATTGATGAAGGAGTTCCGACACAAGGTAAGTTCATGTTTGACACTGGTGTGGATGAGAAGAGTGGCTGCTACTTTCCGCAATCCGAAAACGATCAAGATAGTAAACTGATGAAAGAGTGGTCGGAGATTGATATGCCTATGCAAGATGATTCCTTCTCTCCGGAAGGAAATCATTCTGGGAAGGACATCGACAATGATTGTGGCTCTAATAAAAAGCAGGATAGCGATACACGTATGCAAGATGTTCCCGTATCTCTTGAAGAAAATGAGTCTAACAAGGGGATTCCGAATCAGTGTGATTCTAAGGATTTGATGATGACAACGGAAATGAAGGACGATGAGATAAAAGTGATCACGGATGATGTCTCCAAAGAGTTGTTTACCGTAGGAGATGTACTTTCGATGCCTGATTCAACCACGGTGAAATCCGAAGCCATGTCTACAAATCTTGGAAGTGATGGAATGGAACAACAGTCCTTCAAGGTAAGCTTATCTATGTTCAAAGTTGTTTTCAATTTACAATATCGAAACGCCTTTTAATAACATCACAGCTTCACTATATATGCAATGAATTGTATGCAGAACGCAAGTAAAAACGAAGTCATAGTTGTTTCTGCGGTAAACGAATTGAACAATCCAAGTGAAGAGGAAATTCTTTCAGCTCCTACTTTGGTCTCTAGTGTCGAAGAATCCGACAGTGGGAAAGGGGAAGCTTTTCCGATCAGTCCTGCTCGAGCCTCTGCATCAGAGGAAGAAACCAACAGCAGCCTTGTCAAGCAAGTATCAGATGATAGCAAACTGGAAACTGGAACCATCACATCTGACTCCGGTTCTTCTGCACCAACAACCGGCAAAGATGATCGTGAACCTCTCAAGCAAGTATCAGATGATAGCAAACTGGAAACTGGAACCATCACATCTGACTCCGGTTCTTCTGCGCCAACCACCAGCAAAGATGATCGTGAACTTCTCAAGACCGGGAGAACTCCCGAAGATGAAACTGATTCACCTTTTTCAAACTGTGTTCAACACGGATACGGAGAGTCTAGTTTCTCTGCAGCAGGGCCTGTAACAGGTCTAATAAGTTACTCCGGACCGATAGCATATTCAGGCAACCTCTCCCATAGATCGGATAGCAGCACGACAAGCACTCGCTCTTTTGCCTTCCCTCTGTAAATTCATTGCCAAACTATTTGTTTCCCGTCTCTATCATCTTTTATATCCTATTCAAAAACTAACCATTAACTGTTATTCTCACTTTTCCGCTACATACAGATTGCAGTCGGAATGGAATAGCAGTCCAGTACGAATGGCAAAAGCTGACCGGAGACAATATCGGAAGCATTGCGGTTGGAGGCATAGCTTTCTTTGCTGTAAATTCTGAAAAAGGGAAGAAAAAAAAAAGAGTTCTATACAATCCATAGGTTATACAAATTTATTATTTTTGCTTATCAGAGCTGTATACAATAAATCATCCCCTTTTCCCTCGCTTGGCGTGTAATTTGCAGTAGGTTTAGAGTGTTTTTCATGCTTAGAGTTTTGATTTTCACGTATCATTATAATGTTTTGTTTTTCGCTTTCGCTTTCTTGCTCATAATATCATATCTTATAAGCTAATACCAGATAAAGAGAATACTTCTATATTATTTTCCAATTATCTGAGTTTTGATTTAAAACTTTGATTAATATAACAATCCGCACTGCATGATCATAATTTAAGCATAGGGAAAGCCCATTTCTTTGTTGTTCTTGTTGCAAATTCACCAAAATATTATAGAATCTCTAGACCGAGATCGAGATAAAGATGTTGAGATTGAGATAAAAGATGGCACTTAAATGGAATCACTTTACTATCTCCTCATGTAAAGAGAGAATATGGTCACTGACCAACGGTTAATTCTTTATTAAAAAAATTTCATTCAGATCAAAAAGAATGAATCATTGGCGTATTCCATTTGATCCCCTCTTGACATGTTTAAATTGTTGGTCAAACATTCAGGCTACCTTGTCCTTCACCTCCACCTCTTTTCAATGGTCGTTCATGGATTTACTACACATGCACGTGTCTTCCCTTTCCAACAAGTGGAAATTTATTACATTTGACTGCTTTGGGTTGGGTATGTTTGTTCTTCCAATGAATCCTTCGATAAAGTTTGTACGGGAAATGGATACTTGTAATAATAATTCTTTGCTGTCATCCACCAAAATCCCAGGAACGTGGTTCTTTTAGAATCTGAACCATCAATAAAACTTATCCCCATTAAACAGAAAGAATATACAAAGCTGAAATTATTCCCCTGAACATATGAGCGGGTAAGGGATGCTAAAGAATGGATTAAACCGTAATCAAATGATCAAATACTTAATTTGCAGTCAAAAAGCTCATAAATTTACTAAAATTAGCAACAAAAAATTGGTGCTTTTGGTGGACGTGTGCTAGGCCTTGTTATAATAAAACAAAACCTAGGGTCCTACTCATACCATATAGTAGCTGACATGAAACTAGAAAGTATAAAAATTTAGGACTTCCCATGAAAGTGTTTTGGGACACTGCATCCTTGTGCTTTGTGTATCTGTTCTGTGTCTATATATGGGACTTTTGCTTGATATAATACATTGAGAAAAGTCATACAGAACAAAGAAAGAAAAAAATTCATGTCTTCCATGGAGTTGACAGTGTTCATCACTGTGCTGTGGTTTGCCTTCTTTGCACTACAAGCACCTTGTACTTCCCTGGAAATGAAGCTGCATGCATCAGATGAACAAGGTAAACTTATAAAGAAAAGGTCTTTGTTGACGGGACAAAGATGGTTGAGTCGGTTGACGGCAATTCACTCTGATTAGGGCGAATAGTCGATGCTCAGTCGGTGATCGACCATTAGTGTAAGGATGATAATGGGAGTAGGATGAAGGAAAAGTACTCCTTAGTTCAGAAGAAAAAAACCCCGGTAACAGACAAAAAGAGGGACAATTTTCTCTCTCTTGAATTAAGGAGTACTTTTCATTCATCTTACTTTCATTATCATCCTTATACTATCAGTTGATCACTGATCGATTATCAGCTGCGTCTCTTCGCTCAAATTAGAAGGGATGAACTGCCTTTAGTCGAGTCAACCATCTTTGTCCCATCTACCGTCTCCCTTTTGTGTTTCATCTCTCAGGACTCTTGTTTTCATTGTTTAATGAGTTTGATTGATTTATCATGAGCAGCAAAAGGAGTTGAGCTTTCTCAGTACCCATCACTTCCAAGGAAGATCAGATTCACCGAGGAAGCTGTAGCAGTAAGAATTTATCCAGAAAACAAATACAATCTTTAGTAGTATTTTAAAATTATTACAATCTCCTTAGACTGATCATCTGTCTTTTGTTTTTCAAAACAGGTTAAGGTAAATGATGTTCACCATTCGATTTCAAGCACCAAGCATAAGGAACATGTCTCAGGTAACATATTTAACAAATATGAATATATATATATATATATATATATATTGTTAGACTTTTGTGGAAAAGATAAAATAAAAGAAGGTGATGTTATTGGACAGGGAAAGCATACCAGAAAGAGGAAGCAAGATTAGTGCATGGAAGTCGAGGAACAAGGCAAGAATGGGTGGAGTCTGGGGCTGACATTTCACACTATTTTTCGATGGATTATACCCACGTAAGAAGACGACGCCCCATACATAACAAGTCATTGCCGGTCGGTCCTTGAAACCTGGAGGATCCATTATTTCATCAACAACAGTACAGATAACAATCTACCAGGATCAAGATTTTGTTAGTGTAGTGTAGCGACTAATGTTTTTTTATTTTTCTTTTGTAATTAGGGAAATGAGGAACTCTGTCTTGTTTTTGTTTATGTTTATGGCCGACATTTGAAAAGGAAAAATGCTTGAAATAAGATTTTGTTTGCGTTAAACCAGGATATGTAGGGAGTTGGATTTTTTTTTTTGGGTTCAATACTTTTTTCCACTATGCAATGTTTCGAATTTCACAATATTATTTATAATTAGCTCCATCTCTATCCCCGGTTATTACGATAGATAAATTTGATTATCGAATTGATTTATTTAATTTAAAATTTTATATAAATCCGAATATAATGATTTAACTTTCATTTTAAGTTCGAAATAAATTAAATTGATCAACATCGTCATAAATTTTAACTGTATTGATATGATTTTATAATTAATTTGATTCGAATTGAAAGTAATTTGAATAAAAATTAATCCGAATTAGAAGCAATTTGAACCGAATATAATTCGAATAAAAAATAAATCAAATTTAATTTATCTAAATTCGTTATGTACCGAAGATCAACACAATTTTAACATAATAATTGAGTTAAAGTGAACGAATAATTTATTATTATTATTATTATTATTATTATTATATTTTTAATAATATTATTGTTGAGTTAATCGATCGATGGAATCGGCCAAGAGGGGGTGAATTGGTAATTAAAAATTTCGGTGGAAGCTTTTGCAGAAAATTGAAAAGATTTGCACATTGATTTAGAGTGGTTCGACTTTTTTCAACCAAAGTCTATGTCCACTACCTTAGCTATCCACACTAAGGATTTTCCACAAATTCACTAATTTGTCTTTCTTTTGAGGACAAAGAGTAACCTTACAAATCCCTCAAAAATTATACCCCAAATTCTTGAGAACACTATTTCCCAAAGAGAACAATACAAATTTTGTAAACTTACAAGAAAAATCCTCACAAGGTAAGATGTTTGCACAATTCTAGAACAAAGAAAGAACCCTCAAGAATAATACAATTGAGCACAATAAGTGTTCTTGAAAGCAAAAATAATATTGAATGAAATAGGCTTGAAAATGCTCAAACTTGAGGTTTGATGCTTTCTCTTTGATTCTCTCTTGATTCTTGTTATTGATCAATGGCTTCTAAGCTTGTTTAAATACACCTTCAAATGATTCTGAACGTTGGGGATGATTAGTGGAGTCAATAGAGCCGTTTTAGTGTGAAATCAATTAATAAAACAGCTTGGAGCGTGGGAGGAATCGGTACCCCCTCATGGGGAATTGATTCCCTAAGTGTAAAATTCAAATATTTCAACCGTTGAACAGGGGGAATCGGTACCCCCTTGGGGGGAATCGGTTCCCTCCGAGCATTCTGTTTTTCTCGGAGCCAAACCATTCAGGGGGAATCGGTTCCCTCTGAGCAATCTGGAATTTTTGGCTTTGAAATGGTTCGAAATATTTTGTAAAATTATTTTGAAATTATTTTAAGTTTAAAACTTAATTTTACACTTGAGTAAAGATTAAAAATGACATTTGAAAGATTTGGAGTAATATTTTGATATTCAAATAATTATATCGAATATACTTAGAAAATCTTTTGGAAAATCTTAAAATTCATTTATCTTAATTTGTTATATCGAAATATCAAAATATTTTCAACAATCTCCCCCTTTTTGATATAACAAAACATTTTAGTAATTTTAAGATTTTGAAATCAAGTTTTGAAATTACTCCCCCTTACTCTAACACTTCTCCCCTTTAAAACACTTTAACATTTCTCCCCCTTTTAGTTAAATTAAAAAGACTTTTAAAAGATTTTAAACAAGGTTTTGAAATCATTTAGCCAATTGATGATAAATATATATATAGCTTAAGCTGCTAAGATCATAATTAAGAGAAACGTTAGCCATTAGTTTCATAATCAATATTCATAAACAATGTGACATAGCAAAATTGGTCATATATCTAACATGATGTAAATGATGCAATAATGAATAAATTTAACCAAACCAAATACATATAAGTTCAAACATCCATAATCCATCAAACAAATTCAAACATCCAACAATCTAAGTAAAACAATCCAAAGTCATTCAAAATGTTGAAAACAATAAGTTTGAAGTTATGATCTAAATAAAGCTAAGCAAGAACAGGGCCTAATCGTCCATCGGTGCATCAGGAGGAGATAAATGTGTCCAAATATTGGTCACATCACGTGAAAGTGCATCGACCCCTTTCGCCCAACGAATCGAAGCGACGATTGATCGTTTCAGTGGTAGCGGTCAGATTTGAATAGATTAATGCAAGCCTCAAATCATTGTTCTCCATAAATGATCGGAAGTATGGAGGCACTTGATCTTCTTGTTGTACTTGTTCCTCGTGCTGCTCCGACTCATCGTCGGAGTTGTCTTATTCCAAATGTTGTTCACCGGTACGAACCCAAAGACCAGTTTCTTTATTGATCTTCCATCCCGATTTAGTTAACGAAAATAGATTGATTTGGTCTTTGAGGGGAAAGGAAGCATCAATATCAACTCTAAGCCCAACATTCTTAAACAAATTACTAAGAATACAACCGTAAACTAAAGAAGAACATAATTTTATTGGGAACAAGATTTACGGTTTTGACAAATTCAGAAAAGATAATCTGTGGAAGGTTGATTTTGAGATTATTTTGGACACAATGTAGCCAAAATAAATCTAAGGCTCGAAGAGTAGAGTAACGGCCTCCAGATGGTCAAAACCACCAAGAGATCATAAGGTGAAGAAAACGGTCGTGAAGATCTAACACACTCGCACTATCCATTCGTTTATACTGAGATCCTACCGTTAGTTTTTCATTATCTAACCCGTCATTATCTAATCCTAATGCGGTGGCAATGTATTCCGAGTCAAGATGAAGAAATCGTCCTAGAAGATAGGATCGAATCCCTATGGTTAAGGCTTTCTCTTGGTTTTTAATGCAAACGGCATTAAAGTAGAAGATACGAACAAGTTGATGGTAGACAATTGGTTCAAGCTCGAAGAGTTTTTCAAATTTCCACTCTTGAAGAGTAGGAAGATGACGAAAATTTATGTCTAACATGGCTTGAAGAGATAGGATTCGTTCTTCCCGGATTTTGTAGGACTCAAAGTATTGACAAAACCTAAAGTAGAGATTTTATTTTCGACCGGGTTCATTAAAACAAGAATTGTGAATGGTCATGTTTGGATCATCGAGATTAAGATTAGGAATTTGTTGGATGGGTGGAGGATTTGGAGGCGAGTTTGGAGGTTGGCTGGAACGACTAGAGGAAGCTCTAGAACGTTTATGAGACATGATTTAAGATAATCGGAATGGAAAGAATAACCTGCAATTTTAAAACACATGTATGCAAAATAATCAATCCCAAAACTCAATTGAGTCCTCAATATTTCAAGGTTCTCTATACCTATCCTAATGGGCAAAGTTTTTGAAAACTATTAAAAAATAAGATTTTGAGAATCAATATACATATAGTTTTCATAATAACAACATAATTAAATCAAAACACAACAATTTGAAAATATTTTTTTAAAATTTCAAAAATTTTCAAAATCTTTGAAAATTCTTGTGTTTTTGACGAAATTAGTTGTAGAATCTAGTTTTTAATCACTAAACAATCAACGTCCGATCTAAAGTTCAACCTAGAACTAATTAAAACTAGTTCTATGTTCAAAAATTGATGAAATATAAGTTTTAGAAAAGTACCTTGAAGAATTTCGGATTTGAGTAAGATTAGATGAAGTTTGCACGTTTTTTATGATTCCAACAGGTTTAGGAAATGATATTTGAAGAGAATTCCGATTAAAAATGTTGTTTTGAGGCAAAGTGGAGATTTGAGAGATGGAGAGAGTGATATGCAGCAAAGGAAGAAGAAGAAGAAGGTTTGAGCAAGATAGGGGTTCTGCCCGTGTTAAAAACAAAACCTCCAGGGGGTATCAATTCCCTCTGCACCAAAACTGATAAAATCTGATTTTAAACACTCAAAATGCTAAATTAATTTTCTCTAGTGGTATTGGAAACTCATATAATGAAAATTAAGCATGTTCAATCAATCAAATTTATCATTAAAAATTATTTGAACATAAAGTTAATTTTCACCAAGAATCATAAACTCCCCCTAACTAAAAGCAATGAATGCAATCAAAAATTACTATTATATGCATTTTTCATTTATTTTTAAAAGTGCTAAAATTATTTTGAGCACTAAGTGAAGATAGGGTAGTTAAACCTAATTCTCTCCTAAGTGTCCAAAAACGTTCCTTGTCTAAAGGCTTTGTAAAGATATCCGCTAATTGATGCAAAGTGTCAACAAATTCTAGAACTACATTTTCCTTAGTGACATGGTCTCTAATGAAGTGATGTCTTATTTCAATGTGCTTAGTTCTAGAGTGTTGGATGGAATTTTTAGTGAGACAAATAGCACTAGTATTGTCACACTTAATAGGAATGGTACATACTTCAATTCCATAATAAAAAAGTTGTTGTTTCATCCATAAAACTTGTGCACAACAACTACCAGTTGAAATGTATTCGGCTTCAGTGGTAGATAATGCAACATAATTTTGTTTCTTTGAAAACCAAGAAATCAACATATTTCCAAGGAATTGGCAAATACCAGAGGTGTTTTTTCTATCTAATTTGCATCCTCCATAATCCGCATCAGAAAAGGCATGCAAGCTAAAGATAGAGTCTCTAGGATACCAAAGTCCTAAACTAGGAGTGTTCTTAAGGTATCTAAAGATTCTCTTAACAGCTAACAAATGTGATTCCTTAGGGCATGATTGAAATCTAGCACATAAGCAAACACTGAACATAATGTCCGGTCTACTTGCAGTTAGATAGAGCAAAGAACCAATCATTGACCTATATAATTTAACATCCACACATTTACCTCATTCATCCAAGTCAAGCTTTGTAGAAGAGCTCATTGGAGTGTCATGAGGTTTCCCATT